CTACTTTGTTTTCGCGTAAATAATTAGGGACGCGGCGGAAGTCATCGATGCTATCGAGGTATACACGGATACCTTGATGGGTGTTCTTCGACCGGGGGTCTCGAATATTGTGGCGTTCGAACCACACGCAAATTTGATGCCATTTAGCTTTCTCCTGGATGATGATAGGCGGAGGAGGCTTGGCTTTTCTTTCGGCGGCGTATTCGGGTGCCGGTTGGACTGCCGCGTCCGCCTTTTTGGCGGGCGTCGCAGTGGATCTATTAATTGAGGTGGCGGCCTCGTTTTCGGATTCGCTATCTACGGCGGGGCGTTTCTTGCCCTCCTTTTTTCGTCCAGTGACGACGGTGAAGCCGTCTTCATTGGGTTTACCGGCGGGAGTTAAATCTACCTCCATATCCGATCCGCCGTCCGAGTATGAGTCGAGTACGATGGTGCACAAGGAGGCCGGGGTAGCTTGCGAGGAAGGCGCGACGGGCGTGTTCGCAGCGACGGATGTCGACGCGACGGGCGCTTCTTGCGTCGCGGAAGGCAACGGGGTTACGGGCGCAGAGGACGCCGGAGATGGCGGCGATGCGATTGCCGGTGAAGGCGGGCTGTCGTTGGCGTATTCAACGACTAAACGTTGTTCGGATTCGAACGCTAGGTAGCTTTCCCAAATGTCGGGACAGCGTTGTCGGACGAACCCATCGTAACGTATGTGCCTTTGGGGCTTAGGCCCCGCCGGCATGTGTAAGCTTAATAAGCCTCCCCACCTTGCGGCAGGGAGGAGTGAACCTAAAAATAACACTTAATTCGCCTGCGCTTTAGGTGAGTGCGCTAGGGTGAGTACCTAGCTGTCGCCCAATGCAACAAGCACACAGTTAAAAATTAGGCAATGCCGCCTCTGAGGCGAGAAATGTGTGTAGAATTCTACTTACGGTCAGGAACCTGCCTACGAGCACAACAATACACTAACACTAAACTATTGCACTACTTGCACAAATATTTAAATTGCAACCAAAGTTGCGAGTAGCGTCTAATTCGGGTGGCATGTGGCCTCCGTCTTAGAGAGACGTCTGTTCCGTACGAGAGCACGAAGCGGAAATCGACGAATCCCTCCATCGCGCATCGGTAGCAACAATATCAGTTGATGCTTTCAACGTTGAGTTGCTATATAAAGGATACGTAATTATTTTGCCCCCGGAAAAGTAAAAAAGGAAGAAATCATAAAATAAGTAAGAACATTTTTAAAATTTTTGGACAACGTATTTCGAGAGAATTTTTTTAAGGTACACTATAATTTCTTTCGAGATTTTTCCTGCTTGTGGATATTTTATTCAAATTAAAGATTTTGTTATAAGACACAGTTCTTTTTTAATTTACCTTTTAATTAATAGAATGTATAGAATGTAGCTAATTAAATATTTTCATTTGTTTACGCTTTAATGACAAAATAACAAATTATGGACTGCGATAAAACCTTAATTGACGACCTTAATTAAAAATAAAACCTACTTGTTAATTGACGACAACAATACAGTTTTGATTAGCTTTATTATTTTCAAATATATGTGATCAATACGCTTAAAAATTCAAATAAGATACAAACAATATTAAATTACTAACCCAACCCTTACGCTAACTTCAAATTAAATTAGAAGTTTCTCTAACTCTACGAGAACATTTGTGATCAACTTGATTAATCCTGTTAACAGTCCAGTACCGTCTGAAAGGCCGGTTAGGAGACTTAAAACTAAGTTCAACACTTGGGACACCAGACCAGTTAGGAGACAAGGAGCTGCCAACACATTGGACCTGAATAGCGATATCAAAACGCTGATGTAAAGGAACAATACAGATGCTAGATCTGTCAATGTGGCATACAGTAGTGGCAAAGTGCAACCGAAGTATGGTAATATTGCCGGTGTCAAATTTTGCACTATATTTGACAGGTTGTTTAAATTGTTTATCAGGTTAATGAGGAAAGGTATCAGTAAACAAGCTAATTGATTCGCCACTGGCAACACTGTTGATATTTCGTCGAACGCCAACCGTAGAGCCGAAACCGAGTAGGCTGGTATCATCGCCTCGCTGTACTTTACCTGAGAAAGAACATAAAACATACAATGACATTGAAAAAAAAATGTTTCTATTTCAACACTTCAAAATCTTTAGTATAAAATGAAACTGAAAATCATGTCTTTTTTATTTCTGTTGTACAGATTCGAAAAGTTAATTTAAGTAAAAAAAAGTTAAGTTAATTATCATATATAAAAGTTTTATATCCAGATTGACGGTCGATCTCGGAAACTACATTTACGCTACAAGAACCATAAAAACAAGATGACGCAAACAATAATCAATTAAGACTAAAATTCTTCATCCACATGGTAATTGAACACAAAGTGTCATTGTCTCAACGAGCTTGGAATATGTTCCAGAAATTTACAATCTCGGAATATTTCAGAATAATATAAATTTTAATTATAATTAAGGAGTAGATTAATATCAATATACCAACCAGTGATATAGCGAATAATGAAAACAATGCAAATCTAATATTCATTGTTGTAGCAGTTAGTTTCTCTGCTCTAATAACGGATATGTTTTGAAAAAATGAAACAAGTTATGTTTATATAAACGGCTTCTTATCTTTTAGGCTATGTCAAATATGTGTTACTCAATTAATAAGTTATACAATTTTTGTTGCAATGCTTGACGTTACTTTATCTGATAGGTAATGAAACTTTGCATAAGTGTAACTCATCAAATAAAACGAAAAATAAGTAACTTAATCAAATTAAGACGTATTAAGATTATTATGCTAAATTTCTTGTACACTAAGATAAATAAAAACGTACTTCGTTCAAAGGCAATTAGAGCATAAGCAACCGTGGCTTTAAAGGAAAATGTATACGATCGTTTCTGTCCATTTCATTGTAAACATGGGTGTCTCCCTTCAATTAGCCCGCTGGATCAACAGAGTAACCAGTACAAGGTTTTTAATAAATAGGTACATTGAAGGTCAGCTATATTATTCGTAGAATATACATAGACCTGGATGTATTTTAAAGTAGAACCTCTAAGAGATAACGAAATAAGTAGCCTTGTTGTAATGTATGTAACATTGGCAATATCTACATTTCTGCCTTTGCCAAGTAGAAAACTACAAGAAAATATGATTTTTTACTCCAATTAATAATAAACTCATTAGCAGACAAGTCTTTGTGAAGACATTTAGTTTCACGTTGATACACAGTGCTTTAAAGGAACTTAATTTATTTGTGTTTTACCCAAAGTTATTGTAAAACTGAATAACTCCCTATGTACATTTATAACTCTCCCTATAAATCAAGGATATACAGTAGTTTCCGTGTTAACCGAGTAATAATCGCGTTTTTTCTTAAGTTATACTTCTTTTCGCGCATTTGGAAAAAAATATGCGAGTAAAATTTTTACGATGCGCGCACACATCGACCCTTAAAAAGCGACATGATGAATAATCATCTCGCTTAATTGCCATAGTATTAACTTCACGGTAGTACCATAGCAACCAATAACAACTTTTTGATATTCACAAATAATTCCAAGTTATTTAAATAAACTTATTTTCGTCTTAAATTACGTCTACCCCAAATAAGTATAACTTCTTACGTGCGTACATAAGTAAACGCATACTGTTTTTTTTTATTTATATGAAAGCAGGCTAATAAACAATAAACCATAATATTATAAACTTCATGGACAATGTATTCATCAGACGATAATCCGTTGCAAAATGCGGGGGAAAGTCCTAGATTAAAGTATATTATAAAATTATATTTGACTGTGAAATAACACAGCCCCGTAAAATAATGGTCCTAATTTTATTTTTGAAACTCTTCAACAATAAACCAGAAAAGAATTAGCTAAGAAGTTAAGAATGACGACTCTTATAATTTGTCGATTTTTTATATTTATTTAATGAAATTAAATCTGCAGCCGCGATGAATAGGTTTTTTCTTTTTAGGCATCTTAATCAATATGTTATAGGTTCTTAGATTAACTGATGTATATTTTTTCGGTTTAAAAGACAATGAGAGTTTAGAATAGTTTGAAATAAAAAAGTTAAAGGTCTTGGGGGAAAATTTTTATCGAATACAATTGAATTGGAACGTTTTCAACAAATTATTCTATTTGTTCCGAATTGTTACTAGAGATAATAATTTATTTCAAATGTCGCTTATCAAAATTTTTGTAACACCAATTAAATTAATATTCCGAAACAAAACTCTGTACGCAAGCGATAACAATATTTATCGTCAATTACACTAAGAATATTCGAATAAGGCTCGGACAGGTGATTTATCAATTTTGCAACAACATATAATATATAACAAGGTATGGTAAGAATTCTATCACAAAACTAGCTTAAGGTCTCAAGAGATATTAATTCTGTATTCGGTAAATATCGTTTTTATACGAAAATGAATAAAATTAACTTTGTATTAATTTGTACTGTAGCTGTATTTGTCTTAACGGTGAGTTACAAATACCTATCGAAACTTAAATCTATACGCCTGCTGTATATGTCTTAGCAAATTGCCCGCAATGAGTTTTAGGATTATCTTTACAATAATTAATATACAAAAACTTTACAATAATATTACACATATTTCTATTCGTATTTTGCCATTTTCATGTAATATGCACTTAACATGTACTGGATATACTTTGGGAAAAGATAATCACCCATAGTTAGGAAGCAAAGCGACAAGTGTTGGTTATTTTAATCATTACTTTTTCTTTTACGTAAACCATAACCTTCCCATTCATAATGTTCACTCAAGTCGTATACGTCTATCATAAAACACAAATAACGCATGAACGACCAAACGTTACTTGAAATAGCTGCTTTTATGATTACAGCCATTAACAGTTTGTTTGTTTTGTTTAAAAAATAAGATTATAACTACATATGTACAATATTTATAATATTATTATTATTATATATTTATATATAATTTTTAATATTTTCACAGCCCGTTTCGGCGACTAGCGTGCAGCTGCCGGCCGTGTATCCTCTAGTCAACGTACTCCTGCCACTTTTGAATAACGTTTACAACCTGCTTCTGTCACTGTTGTCAATCTTTGACACCCTACCGCCGGCCGTAAGCTGCCTGATACCCGTAGACTTGAGCGCTTTGGAGACGTCCCTGCTCAAGCTTTACTCCCAGGCGCTGGCCATCATCAACTTTTTACGGTCTCTGCCTGAGTATGCCATCGGCGCTAACCCAGACACTCCTTCAACTGGCGTGGCAAACATGCAAGGGCTGCTCACCACCCTGGTTAAGACAATCACGGACTTGGCGGACGATGTTCTGGTGGGCATCGGCGGGGCTCTGTTACCAGGTCTTCTACAGCTGGTTGTCATGGTCGTACAGGCCTTGCTTACCTTGTTACTTTAAAGAGAAACTAGAAATAGGTAACCTTACGTGCAGTTACTACTGATCGCTTAATTTTGATATGTACAATGTGATGTGTTATTTAATAAATAGATAAGTTCTCGATTCCTTTGTTTTTATGTAACTTTCGTAGCCTTTCTTTTAGTTTGATTAGAATTTAAAACAACTCTACATTTAAAATTTCCTAACCTAATCTATCAGCGGTGATAATCATTTATTTCCATACAAACGTTCTAATTATATACAGATTCACATGATTCGATAACATAAATATTAGGTGTAATTTTTAAAACGTATAAAAATTTAGTCACAATTTAAAATATAGAATGTCTTAGATCGTGTAGAAGTCTTATAAAGCAAAATGTAAACTTTTCGAATATCAGCGCAGAATATTCATTTTGGATTTCGTTAAAGTCCTAAAGAAAATTCACAACCAATTTGCGCGCTCGTAGTGCTGAGGGCACTCGACTGTAACGCTCTGACGTCAGAGACACGAAATACCTTCTTATAGGGTGTTAAAACCGGAGGAGGGGTAATGGAAGGAGGCGCTCATTCACGGAAAAAAGGTGATAAACTTTTTTTTTTCAGAACGGTTTATTTTTAACATTTTACGTCGGTAACTTATACTTTAAAAAGAAAAAAACGTTTATCATCTTAAGCGTTAAGTATATAAATATGTTTGATGGACTGTTGTGATATACTTAATAATAAAGTTTAGGAACTCTTAATCCATCCATTTTTAGATAGAGGCTATGTAGCGTCTTTAGTGTATCTAGTACTTTCTCACCCGTCAACGTACACACGTTACACGCCATGAAAATATTCCTAGAAAATTTTCCCAAACACCTTCGTAGCAGCATTTAGACAAAAATAAATTATGAACAATTTCAATTGGGTAAAACAATTTTCTTAGATCAAAGGAAATTTATGGGAGTCCTGGCACATTTTAATAATGGGACTTAAAAAATTAGATACCTATTATTGTTGGTCTACGCGTTATTTAAAAAATAAAGAGTAGCTGTTTTGTAACTGAATGAACAGTTTCGTCCAGGGAAGTACCACGATTACACAGAAGACCAGCGTAAAGAGGAAGAGTTATACTTCTGCTTTTCGTCTTGTGTGTGAGTTAGCCGGGGCCCTCTTTTGGAAACGCATCTGCAACCATACGGGTGTTGCAAGTAGGGTGGGCTGCGGTTATCACTTACCAGTGAACCACTCTAGCTCTCTTCTCATTTTCTTGCATAAAATAAAAAAAGAATACAGTGACAAAATAAAGTACAAAACAATGTTAAGTTTTTGCCGTAAAATACGTGCTACAGAACAATAGCTATCTCTTGTTTAGCGGTTCGTAACTATGTAGCGGTATTGTTACAAATACGAGATTACGAAAAAAATCTCACGACAAAGTTTCAAACGTGTAATAAATTAATTATACTCGTTCCGAAAAGACAATTTCGACTATAGACAACTCGCTCGATATTAAAAAGGCTTCCGTTGAATCCATGTTATACGCTCCACGTCTAGATTAAATAAGGGCGAATTCATAAGCACGTCTTTTTATTTACTTTTTCAGGAATGTTTTCAATTGCTCTTTACATACCGTTATTATTTAAAAGAATCATTATCTTATAACACACAGGTTTAATTTAAAGTCGATCCGAAAAATAAAATTATTGCATTGCTCAGCCCATATATGGGTTGTTACTTATTCTACATGTTTCCTTTCAAGTGACACACATTGCAAAAAATATGTTATTAATAATATAACTTATTCGATAGTGACATTATGTCATAAATATATGAAAAAATGATTGTGAGAAAAAATTCCAATTTATAAATAAAACTGGTTAAGTTTATAACATCTTACATAACAGTTATCACACCTTTACGTAAAGCCGCCCCCGCTGTCCCCTCCCTTCTGAACGCCCCCTAACCTTTAGGACCCATGCGCAATGAACACCAACTTATGGATCCAACAGTCTAGCAGCAGACGTGCACCAGGACGCACCATGAATCGGTGAGTTGATCGCACCCCTATCCCAAAGCTCGGTAACTTACAACATTATCAAATAAAAACAAACCTTGTTACACTTTTTATACGTATATTCACAATTTCTAAAAATGTATGATATTCCCCTTCCTTTAAGTTTTTACGACATAATATAACTTTGTTATGAAATCTTTCGCAAGTTTCGTAACTTTTTACTATTAAATCTCGATGTTAACGGGATAATTTTTTTGATGAATTTCTTTCATTTAAAATTTTTTTTCAATTATGTTCTAAATACTTAATTTAATTGTAAGAAGCGACTCAATAAACTTAATTGTAAAAATCAATAAATTAAGGGATAGCTTTCGCTAAACTTATTTTTTTCCGTCATTTAGTTGAATTATTTTGTATAAACGTGAAATTTATATTTATCGAAGCATTAAAAAAATACAAGCAGGAGCTATGTTAGGAGTACGAAAGATGTGAGATCTTTAGTATCAAAAAAATTTAAAGATAAATATTTAAAAACGAATGTTAATACTTACGTCAAAGTCAAATTATTACTATTTTTAAATAGTGTGATAGACTCTATCATACATATTAAAAGTAAAATTGGAATTTAAAATAGTTTAAAATCAAAGTCAATTCCGATTAACTCTGCAAGTTTAACGTAATTCCTAGATTTTATCGGTGATTGGGGAGAGTGAGAACTATATTTTTTTCGAATCTTGTATATAAACTAATATAAAGCAACCCATGTAAAGGCACGTTTTTATAAGGCTACGACTACGTCTTTATGTGGGCTGGAGATTCCGTCTAGATTTTAAAAATTCTTAATAGAATGTCAACTGTTTTGTCTTGTTTTTCAATTTTGTTGTCAGCTATTGGTATGGATATTTAAGAGATTTTTTTAAATATTCCTAGTTTAATAAAGTAACTACTTATATTTATAATTTTGGCAACTTATTTGTTTTTTTTTATTTTGAGAACAACATTAAGAAGAGGCGAGTGTCTCTCTTTTAAACTTAGCTGAAATATATTAATTTTGCTTTCGCTAATTAACATAACATTCCCCGTTTTAAGAAATTAGCAAAGTAATTATTCTGGCTACAGCAGACGAATTTGAGAAGTCCTAATTAATTACGTTGAAAGAGAACGACAGTATACCGGGGAAGGTATCCGAATTAGGCCTAATTAGGTTTTTGCCCTTTATAAGATACAAGTGTAGACACAATTTTGAAGCTAATTTATATTCATATTGCTTATAACTTATTAACATTGACATTCTGTGGAATTTAATTTGTAAACTTAGGGATGAAATTTAAAATTAATATCGTATTAATAAAACCGCTGTTCTTACTTAAAAACATATTAACGTATTTTAATATGTTCTATATTACCTACCTAGAGCACACCCCATTACGTGATTCGAAGTTTTTTTTTAAGTTGACATAGTTTGAACCCTAATTATAATAATTTAAAAGCGTACCTATTTATCAATCAAATTTTGTTTATAGATTAATAATAGATACTATTGTATTCTTATCTCAATAAATGCTATTAAGACGTAATATAAAAACTAAACAAATAATTATTTATCAATAACAAAAAATAATTAATTATTACTAAATATAGCTATCCATTAAATGAATAAATGAATTTGATTATTAAAAGACATTCAAGTGACATATTTGTTACAGCTCGAAGATGGCCTTTGCCGCCCTTTTGGTTGTCAGTTGCCTCGCGTACGCAAACGCCTGGGGCGGACTTTTCAACCGCTTCAGTTCAGACATGCTCGCCAACTTGGGGTACGGGCGGTCCCCCTACCGCCAGTACCCCTACGGCCAGGTAATGCTTTTATCATTAATTAAAGTAATTTACTGAAGCTAACATTTATATCTACATATGATAATAATAATAATAATAATAATAAAATATCTTTATTCTTATGAAACGTCAAAATTACTGTTGAGAAGAAACCGGCAAGAAACTCAACATAAAAAAATCAGTTTACAATATAATGAAGTATTAACCCCACACATTGGCGTCGTCAAGATATTCAGTATAATAGGCTTTAGCCGATTCACGGCAAACCCTTTGCCCCATGAACGATCTTAAAAGAAATTTAGTTTATGTCTGTCAATTCTTTTGATAGAAAATGTTTAAAATTTATTTTTTTCATTGTAAGGTTGTCTGGTATTCATGTATGGAAACGTATTATTATAGAGTTGTAACTGTTTAATTATTTGAATGTAATATATAAATAACAAATGTTTGTATCATTTTAATGTATGTTTGTAAACTGTATTTATTTTACTAATAAACAAAAAAATCATATGGGAGAAATATATTCAACTCCACTATCTTGTGGATGAAGGAAATAATTACATGAATAGGTAGTGATATATAATAAAGGTATATTTAACCGTGCTTTTGGATCATATTTTTCGTTAAAAAATTTATTCATATTAATAGCTGTAGCTATTAATATGAATAAATTTTTTAACGAATGACGGCTGATGATTGATAGAAATAATACGTTATTTCTTGTCAATCACTGTAGATAAGTCAAGCAGGAAAAGTAGGTTACAAATTCTATAAAATAATAACAGTCTCAATTACACGTTTGTTTTAAGCAATGCTTCAATGGTAAAGCTATATGGCATTAAGCAATGGTAATACTTATTTTTCAATATTCAAATTCAAGATCGAAATTTAGTGAGTTTACATTAGAAAATACATAAAAGCAATACAATAAAAGGAATAAAAAAAAATTACAATCGACCGACTAGAAGTTACTGGTAAATTTCAATACTGATATTTATGAATCAAAGTTTTAAATACCAAAGGGTTCAAGGATGGCAACGCCTCTGTTGCTCCTGAAGTATTTCGGATATTATGATAAATGATGGCAAAGTTGTTGTTGGCTTTTGATTTTGTTTTCACATAAAAATGTTTGTAAAAGCCACAAAGGAGTTCGAATTACAAGTTATACTATAAGGTTTTTCGCCCTTTTCATAAAATTACTACAACAATTATCAGTTAATTATAATTTGAATAATATTTCTCGCAATATTTTCGAATTTCCATACGCATTCACTCGGTTATTTTTAAATCGGGCGAATATGGCAAAGGGTAACCACGAAAGGTCACATAATATCAGGTGAACTGTAAAATATTTGCTCCTAACGCTCATCTAACTAAAGCTTGTCGGACCGTTATTGGTTACTTTTTCAACGGATTTATATCCGCTACCGATTTGTTAAAATTAATTCGTATTAAATTTATAAATTATTTAGCTTTTTTTATTACGACTCATCAATGGTAATAAGATAATGTCTTGAATAAAATTTCCAGTAAATTTATATTATCAATAAATTTATAGTAATCCTATATAACATATTCCAAATATTTTCAAAACTCTCTAGACATTTATATAGGGAGACGATGAATACATTTTTGTAATTCAGCTTCAGGAGTTGCTAAATAGTTTAGTTGTTTTTTACAGGGAGGTATTCCAGTTGCCAGAGAGGAATAGCACACATGTCAAAGTTTTTGCTAAGGCAGTGTTCTTATAGGTGGAGCCTGATGAGATCTATGCCGAAGCCTTAGAGGGCAATCGGATCGAGAATGCTATCGAGGAGACAGCTCATTGCTACAGTTCTCCGTGCACCATCAACGGAGACTGCTGCCGTGGGCTGCTTTGTCTGGACACAGGTTTGTGTAGTTTAAAAAATACTTTACTATCACTACATAGTATAAAACAAAGAAGTCCTGCTGTCTGTTGTCCCTGTGTATGCTTTGATCTTTAAAACTACGCAACGGATCTTGATGCGGTTTTTTTTAATAGATAGAGTGATTCAAGAGGAAGGTTTAATACAAGGTATGTATAATACATTGCACCCGTACGAAGCTGGGGCGGGTCGCTAGTCAGAAATAAAAACGACTATGTACCCAAAAAAATCTATTGATCCGATCGCTATGAAAATTCAAAGGATAACCCGCGGGATATTAAGAGGATTGCCTGAAAATTTCATACGCGCATTGATTTTGATATGGATAATAACATACCTAAATAAATACATATAATAACCAATATAATGGATTCCTTTGTTAGCTACACGCCACAAATGTATGAAGAGTCAACAGATCAGAAACCACTGTTATGGTTTTAGTCCAAGTGGCTCACATTCGGATTTTTTATTTTACGAAGCTCACCGTTTTTTTATGTGAGAAAATGGCAAACAAGCTGGCAGTTCACCTGATGTTAAGTGATAACCGCTGCCCATGGACATTTACAACAACTGTAGGGTTTCAGATGCGTTGCCACCTTCTAATAAAGTGGGCCCCGCCTACCTCACTCACGACAACCACAAGACAAACGAAACGCAGAATTGTAAGTGTAACACTTCTACTTCACGCCGGTCTTCTGTGAGGTCGCGATACTAACCCAGACGGACTTGCCCATTCGTGCCACAGCGAACACTGTTTCGTGGCCCTACCACAGTTAAAATCACCGTACATAAATAAACAGTGGCGGATAGGCTCGGGTCTAGGGTGGCCACATATTAGGGGCGGCCAATCGTGACAAAAAATTCACTGATGATAAGAAGATAAAATATGATGGGCGCTGAGAAAAGGGCGGCTGAAACTTATTATATGAGCTGGGGCTTAAGGCGGCCAAGACCTCACATTAAAAAATGAAGAGGACTTAGCGACTAGTGTGTTACGTCTCATTTCATTTGCTACCTTATTTACCACTAGCTTTTCGCCCGCGGCTTCGCTCGCGTTGAAGACCTTAAATAAATATCTTTCTTTAACCTTTCAACCGTTTACAAAACTTCTTTCCAATTAAATAATATCCTATGTCCTTTCTCAGGCTCTAGACTATCTGTGTACCAAAATTCATTTAAATCGGTTCAGTAGTTTTGGCGTGAAAGCGAGACAGACAGACAGAGTTACTTTCGCATTTATAATATTAGTATGGATGGGTGATGCTGTTGGGAATCGCTTGAATTAATACCTGCTGCTGATCTTCACCACTGTGCTAAGCGACAAACCACCAAATATAAGTAGCGTGGATGGTATCTATATGGCCGGAGGTCTATTACGGTGCCCTTCTGAGAAACTTCCAGAAACCAATTTGACGAATCAGTAACCGCCGGCTGTACCGCCGGCGTTACCGCCGGCGGACTGCCACTGCCATCTCGACAAAAGTAATGTCTTTTTTACCTAAAGCACCGAAAATATGTGTACATTTCTTAAACGTAACGTTTTCAATAATCCAATTATAATACAGGCCACTCGTGCGCGTAATTAAATACGTTTGCTTTTTGCGTCCCAAGTATTAAAGCTTACTAAATTTTTAAACTCTAAAATCTCATATTATTTCTCTTTCATTGAGTAATTGAATCCTTTAAAACTTAAAAAATTAAATAAGTTAAAAAAAATAGACTGTTTAGGATATATATTGGAATTCTATTTACAAATTAAACGTCCCAACATATTAAATTTTCCTTGACATAACCAAGAATCCATTCATGTCGATGCCTAACGTTTCTTTTTACTTCGTCTGATTTTCTATTAACTTTCGATACTCTGAATATATAGTCCGGGAGTACCTCCGAGCAGAAAATAAATTACTTTTATTCAAAGCAGCTACGGCATCTGGCTTAAACCAATATTATGCTTGATTTGTACACAACAAACAACGCGAGCCAAGATTTATTTATATTTATATATATTACTATAGGTTATAGTATATTACTATATATACGACTTTACACATTACTATATACGACTATATAACTATAGGTTTCCTGAATAGTTTAGTGTAACAATAGCTGACCTTCATATTTATATTATATTCACTTAGAACTTACTTTTTCAAATTATGAGCGCTGCAAAACTACATTTATGTAATGTTACTTAGCAGGTGTTCATAAATCAATACGAAATCGCATCCGCTGAGAGCGCTTTACGACGTGGCGTGCTATTTTCTCCCTTAAAAAAATTGCTTACAATTTATGCACTAGACTTGAAAAGGCGGCTTTAAATGAGACTAAACATGTCCACCAACTTTTCCGAGAAACAAGCAAACATCTAATAGATTTCATAAAATTTGTCTTAGTTATGTTACATTTCTACTGCGACTCGCAAAAAAATCTACGCCTATTCTAGCCCAGGACAACGACGTTTTTTAAAGAATCATGCTTTTAAACAATAGTTGGCCGATGATGTTGTTTTTCTATTGAAAGTTTCATTTTCTATTATGGTGTTCGTTGAAACGGTGGATTAAAATTTTAATAAACTCCAAACAACACCGAATTGGATGGGGAAGCTGTGAGTATATTTATCATTCTCTCACTCGCGAGCAATTACCCTTTTTAGGGTAATTGCTATCCAAAGGGTAAAATGGACCCCTATTACTAAGACTCCGCTGTCTGTCTGTCTTTCTGTCCGTCTGTCACCAAGTTGTATTCCATGACCCGTGATAGTTAGATAAATTGAAATATTCACAGAAGATCTATTTCTGTTGCCGCTATAACATGTAACACTAAAAACAAAATAAAAAAAATATTTAAGTGGGGCTCCCATATAACAGACATGATTTTTTGCGGTTTTTATAGAAAATGCTACGGAACCCCTGACACGCGAGTCCGAATCGCACTTGGCCGGTTTTTAATTCATTAGTCTGAGTGTACCTATTTGTTTTGTTAGAAGCCAGACGCTTTGGCATTTCCGTAAAAAAAACGCTACTTTAACCTCTTGGGATTTGATGTCGTCCAAAAATTTTATTTTTCATTATTTGAGTAAAATTTTAATCTGGACTTTCCACGTCGCAAATTCCCCAAGCCAATTAACATCATGGGTGTCGCCGATTACATGGCGTTATTTTACGGCACGCCATTATGTTATTAATGGCAAACGTTTATTGCGCAGCTTTTTTATTAATTTTTATCGTATCTATCTATAATAAGTTCGTTGATGACTTCACAATTTCATTGAAACATATCCGATTTATCTTTTATTTATAGGGTTTTAACATAATAAGTAAGTAATTAGTTTCATCATTTCACTATAGCCGTTCCGTTTTCTCCTGTTTTTTTATATTATCCTATCATATACTGGCCAAAGAACTAGCTCCCAAGGCAACAGTAAATAGGCCTTCTAATTTGAAAATTTTTATTAACACAATCCATCTTCTATCCACTCATGTACATCCTAGTTTTGCCTTGAACCTGACTGGTTTCTGGTTAGACCTCACTGGTTAGTTATTTGTGTATGTGAGAATGTGGCAAGTAAGCTGGCTGTATGTATACCTGATGTTAAGTGATCGACCAGATCGCCCAGTCATTTGCAACACCCGTAGCCACGTTGTCACGTTTAAATAAAGTGGAACTCGGCTCACTCCCCGGACGAAGCGCAAAAGTGTAACACTTCTAATTCTCGCCGGTCTTCTATGAAGTAGTAATACTTCCCCGGACGGAACAGCCACAGCGTAGCGTGGTTTCGATAAAGAGCCGTAAAGACCCTATTTTAAGTATTTATTGAGTCAACAAATATTTTATCGTCACAAAAATATTTGAGGAACAAAAGCTGTCTAAAATATTAATGCAAATAGCTAGCAGTCGAATAACCATAATCGTCAACATGAGCCACACCTGCCAATTTTACTTCTATGTATGTTGTATACAACATTTTCGATTAACCATAGATATAATATTTATTTTCTTTAGAAGTAGCAATTGGGTTTGAACAAAGATAGTTAAGGTTAGAACTTACCATCGGAAACATCTTCATTATACAGCGTGTCTTTACATTCGCGACAATAAATGAACACACATATAGGGGATAACTTTTTAAAATTTAATAAACATTTAAATTCTTTAAACATCAATATTTACAGAGTTATTAAATTTTCCAAAAAAAAGAATTTTAGAACACTCTTACTTATAAAACTGTAACGTAAAGTTCATTTGTAAAGGTCACAAAGCATATGAATGGGTTGAATGAATTTAAAAGAGACAAAACATACTGTTAGAAGGTGAGGCTTGTAATGAGACGCTGTGGCGCGAGTTGTATAGGATGTTACAAATTTTGTTTCTTTTTTAGTTAATTAGTTTGAAAAATATTTGTTTTTAATTATGGATTTTGTTTAACGTTAATATTTTTTATGATTATTGGCAAGTAGCGTTAGACGTGTGTTCATTTATTGTCGCGATGGTAACGACACGCTGTATATTAAGCGAAAGTAGATACTTGGGTAATAAATACTATTTTAAATTATCGGCATTGTGATACTTTTGTCTCGAAGCCATCAAAAGTAGGTATTTTAAAAAAAAGCTTGGTTAGGCTTTTTTCTTTTCCTTTAATTTATTATGTTTTTTTTTTGTTTTCTTCACGGACCAATCTTCATTGTGATAGTAATGCTTGTTGACCTTGAGTTGTAGTATGGTGTCTGACTCGTTTGTCACGTATGTACTATATCGTCAAGGATAAAAATATTATCTTATACCTTTAAACTAGCAATTCTTCTATATATATATATATATAATCGGAATCTCGGAAACGGCTCCAGCGATTTTCATGAAATTTAGTATGTGCGTAGATTCGGGGGCGAAAAACCGATCTGGCTAGGTTTCATTTTTAGAAAATGTCGTTTTATCCCAGTTTTCAGGCAATGAAAAATATCATTCAAATATGACAGTAAATTTCACCGAAAAAAAGTGTTATAATAGCTCGGTCCCTAATCGGGCGGCCTCGAAACGAAAAGCCGTGGATCGTGTCACGATCATTTACAAACTTATTTTTTTTTCTTTTTTTCGATTCCAGATCATTGCTTTCTTTATTTTTGATTTTTTGTCGATCCAGATGATTTTGTTTTTGTTCCCTTTTTTTTAAAGTTCTTTCTTTTGTGAAAAAACAAAAAACAAAAAATATTTTCTTATTATTACGTCGGTAAGATCGAAAAATATTATACATATTTCATTACTCAGTAATTTGTATCTTAATGTAATTTCCAAAATAAATGATTTACCAAAAAAAACCCTCCAGCTCCTCTAGGTACTAGGTATTACACATGAAACGGCTTTAACGGTGAAGTCTCATTTCCACGGACCAATTTTATTTCAATAGTACTTACAAACGCATCTCACATACAAACCGCAAAATGAGACGCGTGTGAAAGTTCTAACGACGCGTTAAAACTAATTTTGTAGGGAAATAAAACCCTCGTTTTACTTGTTTCCGCCATTTAAATAAGAAACGACAGTTCGTCCTGACAATTCGTTGTTTTGATTACTTCCTGACAATTTAAATAAAATATAAAGTGTGATTGTATTTTCTTTTCAACTTAGACCAGTTGACATGTGGATGACTGTATTTCAGTCTGGTTGGTTTTTGACATTTTTTTAATTACAATTGAATAATAAAGTTTTTTAGATAGTTAATTAAAATACACACTTTTTTTACTTTACTTTTTTTTTGTTATGCAAAAATTTTGTGATTTTTTGGATTTTTTTAATTGGCTGTCTGTCAAACTCGTTCAATACAACGGCGGCCATTTTGTTGATAGGTTCCGCTTCAAAGCGCACAATATCCGTTTCTCGCGGTGCAAAATTTCCCTTTATATTAGCGTTATCCATGTTTTACATTTTTAATTGTTTTTGTTAAGTATTAAAACGTTTTGTGAGTAAGTTAAATATTAAAACTTGTAGAAAAGTTACATAGTTAAGTAAGTTAAGTAGTTTGTTGTTAAGTATTTACGTTTACAGAACATTGTGGAACCAATCATAAAATGTTTAAAATGTCTTTAGCAGGTTCATTTTTTTAAAAGGCGGTCACCTCGAATAAAGCGTTTTAATAAAAAAAATACTTGAAATTTAAATTATTTTTCAATAACACACATAAATAATTTCTGATTCATATAACATGCTAGCGGATAACTTACAATCGAAAACGACGATCTCCAAAAAGCTATTTTTATTATTGTTTTCTGTTTATTTTCCTTTTCTTATAATGGTGTCCAATTAAAATTCAAAATTAACATGCGATATAATCCGTAAAATCGTTTCATTTAATATGGTGTCCTGAATCAGCGATCTAGTATATTTCGTAAGTGCATAAAGATTACGGCAATTTAATTATTATCTCAAAAAAATTTGAATGTTAAAAGACGAAGTTTATTTTTGGACACTACTCGTAGATATCACAGCTCTAAAACGCACATTTAGACAATCATATTTTCCAAAAGTTTAAATTGATCAAAAACTTTCTAGTGCTATATAATATAAAGGTATGATAAGAAGGTTTTTATCAGCATTATAAGCATTTTTACCATTTTACTTATACGGATTTAAAGCGGTACTTAATAAAGAATTAGAAAGAATTTTAAACAAAAGTTAATAATTATAACGATATGCTTACTTGTTTACGTAGCCCTTAACACTGTTCGTAACACGGCCTTGTCACAAACCAAATCACCCATTAATTACATAGCTAATCAGGCAGTGCGATCGTCAAGAATATAACAGAGGATCAAAGTTTTGTAAAAAAAACGAAAGTTTCTCACCGCTGTGGGAATCGAACCCTCGGCATTCGCGGCCTGACGCTCTAGCCACTGAGCTAAACGGCTGATTACCACACCGACGAAAATCTTAACTTATTCTTCTACATTGTTTTCATAGCATTTGAAGCAATGCTTGGGATCTTAAATTTCATATTCTTTCGTAATAGAAGAGGGAGGTCGTTGCCTCCCAGCGTTTGCCGGAAGAAAACTGGGAGAGGTATGCAACCGCGAGAATCAATGCGACGCCGGACTTGTCTGCGAGGAAGTTGTACCAGGTATGCTATTAGTAGTTAGTATTCATTCACAATTTTTTTGTAGCAACACCATCTCTCTTAATTCATTGTGAACATTAATAATTCTGACTTCATATTCCCCCCTTATGACGATGAACAACTAAATAGTTTGAAATTATTTTTTTCGTTTAGAAAACAAAAAAGCGCAAACGGTAAAGTGTACCATTAATAATTTAAATCCACGAAAAAGTCAATTTCAAGATTGTTCAGTATAATAATGTAATTAGTACGCTTATTAATTATAGATTATATTTTTATATTAAGTAAAAACATAATTAATTGTAAAGCCAACCCTGCACATTATTCACTAAACGTAATAAATAGTGTATTGCGTTTTATAAAAACAGGCAAGTTCGACTGGGAAGTAGAAGGGGAAAAGTAATTTACCGAATAATGACAGCATAATATTACGTATAGCATCCTGACGGATATATATAATATACGAGGACATAACGAGAAATTGCAGGATATCCTTTTTATTAGGAAATGAACTGTAAGACTTTTCTACTGTCTTACTTGTTATTAAAAAATTGCCTTTACTGTAGAATAACATTATCCTGTGTTGTGGACGCTTTACATACATAAATTTACTTGGACAAACACCCATATCCGAAACAATTATTTGTGGGTCACATTTCTCGTATAGGAATCGAACCCACGACCCCTGACGACTGCGCCTAAGGTATATATATTAGCAGATGATGGGTAAACTTGCTAGTTAAGTAAAATAATAAGGATTCTCTTCTGATAGAACCAAAATTCGATTATGTTATTCACGATTGTAATATAATAAAGGAGTATAAATGCGTAATAAGTATAGCCGATCAACGGTCGAACTTTTACAGTATAATGGTGGTAACAAATGTCATGCTTTGTCAAAATCCTTTTCGTTCTTACATCGAAATCAACAAAAGTAACTTTAAGCGAATGTGAAAGTAGGTATTACACAAAAGTTCTAGATTTTTCACTACTGGGTACTGGAAATTATTAAATGAATTTGTGCTAGGCGAGATGCATGTTTGCCGCCCGCCCACCGCCGGCCATAAGCAATATAACGAGGACTGCACCGCCTCCAGCGAATGCGATATCTCCCGTGGTCTCTGCTGCATCATGCAACGCCGTCACCGCCAGAAACCAAGAAAGGTATTTGACAAATAGTGCCACACGCACAATAATTCCTTTATAATTAGTGTGTAGTAGGTGGTAGGGTCACGCAACACTACAACCCTACGGATTAATTACCTACCTACAAATTAATTCGACGTGTTATTACCATCAATTCTGTAAATTATACACATACATTTTAAAAATGTAATAATATACATAAACGAAAAGATAAACTTGAACAAGGGTATTTTATAAGATGCTGAATACAACTTTCAAAATATGGTAAATAGGAATATCTGTTAAAGGAAAGGTTAAAAATCTAACAGCTAAGTTTTTAAGGACCTCATGGTAAACTAACAGCAGTATGTTATTTTATAACAAGCATCTTTTTAATACAGCAAAATTTTTGCATTCACTGATTTTCTCAAGTTTAGTATAGAAGAACAAGAAATATGTAATGTATAGTATAAATGGTTTTTCATCTAAAATAAAAGAGGCTTTTTGATTACCAGTGGTCTCGAACACTCTGAAATGATGACAATATAAGAAAATTCTAAGAAAAATAATTTAAAAATGCTTTAATAAATCTTCAAACCCCATTTCTCAATATAACGATTAAAAAGAATTTCTATTGTCATTTTTGTAAATGTCATATAAGAAAAAATTAAGTACTTCTCAAAAGGAAATGAACAAAAATATACGAAAACGGAACAGCGTCAACTTAATTAGCATTTTCTTTGTCCGCTCTTGTGTATAATATAAACTTTGAAGAGGCTTCTCTTTTCGTGACAATGCTAAGAATAATTGAAGTTATTAAAGTGAAATGAAATTCCATGCTAAAGAAATACTTCGATGGAATTATAAGCTGTCTTTCTTTTTCATGGAAATTTAAACCGCTCTCTAAAACAAATTAAAAGAAAAGTACTACTAGCACTGGAATTTAAATTAGCACTGGAAACTACAATAACTTGGTCTATACTTCTTGTACTTATATATGTATGTATATATGTTTCTTTTATGATGCACCCTTATACAGAGCTGCGGCTACTTCAAGGAGCCTCTGGTGTGCATCGGACCGGTCGCCACGGACCAGGTCCGCGAGTACATTCAGCACACCGCTGGCGAAAAGCGCATCGGCGTCTACAGACTCCACTAAAGCCTCCCTTCTCGGCCTTACTTGGAGTAAAATGACCAGAAGTAACCATCAAAGGAAGCATGTCAATGTTTTATTAACTTTAATAGTATGTGAAACGACTATAAAAGTTCATATAATATTAATGTTAATATGTCCCCTTGTTGATTCGATATCACCAATAATATCTCAATGGTTATCATGGCGGATTACTCCAAATAAGAAAGGGACTCGCCCTTTACCGATAAAAACATTCGTATTTATAATTGTTTTGAATAAATATTTCGTTTGACGATCTTTCTTAACTTTATGCGTTATAACGTGTTTACTTAATAGCAGTTTTTATCGGTTGAGGGTTGTATTATTTTAGTGGGCAAAATGTTACGAAATTCCTAATACAATTCCGAATACTTACATATAAAATTGCATCACGGTTAAATGGTAAATGTTAGAAATTCGTAATATTTTTCCGTGGGATTCGATTTTGAAATTACTTTAACCGAACTATACTTAGGTATTCCTCAATCATGTTTTCGTATGGTTTTTTTTGTATTTTGTATATTTTAGTTTTCAAATACTTTCTTTTTCGTATGGTGATTTTTAAATTCGAATCCTACATGACACTCACGCTTTCGAATAAGGCCAACCGATCACAGCACTTTCTTTTTTCAAAAATATGAACTTATGAAATTTAAAAAAAAAAGAATGAACGTAAAATAAAAATGTCTATGTTATATCAAAATAAATTAATATGTGTGTAGTTCTTACATTAGAAAAATAATATTATAGATGTTTTCATGAATTCTTATGAATGTTGTTTAAAATATTCCTAAATTGTTGTCGTTAAAACTATTTCGTGTGTTTAATCTTTAAAATTAAAACATAGGGTTAATTCTAGAATAAGTCTTTAGAATTGAAACAAATACATATCCTACTGGCTGAGGCATTTATATTGTAGTTATTCGATAATCGATGTTAAACTTATAGGTATAAAAATAAATATAAACATACATATCATCATAGATGTAAGCTACTTCCTAATATAGTGTCGTATATTTTTCTGCTGTATTTCATTAAACGTACTTTAGAGGTGTCCTTCTACTCTATGCTAGGTGCCTAGGTAAAATGCATATCGGATTGAAATGCTCTGTTCGGAATTAGATATAATGACGTTTAAAACATATCAAATTTTCTGTAATCCTGTGTGTTGATTATATGTAATTAGTGTAATGTCTGTGATTGTATCTACATATTTTCTGAGTCTGTATTTAACAAAGAATACATATTTTTTGCGATTGATTACGTTGTCAAAGATATTTAATATCTTTTTACCCGCTCTCGATTGTTTTATTGAAATGCGATACAAAGGCCTAAGCATTTTAATAGTTGTTGCATCACTTCTACCGTGTAATGTGCGATTAGAGATATGTTGTTACTAATAATGTACGATGTTGTCTTACTATCTTAATCACATATCTAAATATGTTAATATGTGTTAAAATATATGAATTATGTCAGCATAAAAATGGTTTTATTTCGTTCCTTCCTATTCATAAATTGTAATCGTATTGAAAACAATTATATTTTATAAGCAAACTACAAAATTTTATCTAATAAATAGATTAATTCAAATAACAAAATTTTAATTTTGATGAAGAAAGAAAACAACACATTTAATTGTAAAAGCAATTGATTTCGAGTCAGTTAATTTGAAAAATGTAATAACCTTCTTTTACTTACTGTAAACAAGTATATGTTCTTATTAAAAGCCTTAACAATTAAATAACCTTAACAATATGTGAAGAATGTTAACTTAATACCAAAATATATAAAATTATAATTTTTTTAGTACGATCAAAACTATATCTGAACTACAGTCACATAGTTTTTGTAAAGCGCAAAACATGCTTTAAATTCAACGATTTAATTTTTCACACATTTTTTTAGATTTATTAGATGACATCAGCCGTTTTAACTTAGTGGGCAGTCCTGGGGCGCAGTCACATAGAAGTTTGTCTGTATTCCCGCAGTGCGAAAAAAACATGCTTCAACAAAACAAAGTAACGATTTTAAATAAAATACCTTTTTCTTCCATAACTTTTTTCGTGACAGGTCTTTGTGACAATCAGCCGTTTAACTTAGTGGTAACGTCTGGGCGCGAATCCAGAAGACGTGGGTTCGATTCCCGCAGTGGAATACGCAACTTTCCGTCCATTCTTCAACAAATTTAAAAATTCAAGACATTTTTAATTTTAACATAATATGTACCTTTTTCTTCCATAACTTTTTGCCATCTTATTGATGACAGAATGTCTTTGCTGTATACATTTTGGGATATAGGATAAAAAAAATTCAACAACCTAGTTTTGACAGTCCTTTCTTAACATAAACCAAATATTTTTTTTAGAAAGAAACATAAATTTAATTAAAAAGTAAAAAATAAATTTCAGTATAATAATAAAGTGAATAACAAAAAAATTATGTCATCCTTATATAAGCGTGGGGTACTATATATCAATTGTTCTAATATCTTTCTATTTCAATTTCTAAATATAGAGTTACTCCAAAAATATAATACAAAGCACCCCATGCTTTTAATTACATTATTTTTACGTTATTCTAGATTGATGATGATGTAATATCTTGCATTTGGAATGGAAATGGAGCATGGTATTTATTTGAGGGGGAAAACCGATTTCTTTAAACATGGAAAGTGTTTATATGCCATAGTGTGTTTTCATATCATAATAATCTTTAATATAAATATTGTTAAGATAAAACGATTGACAACGTTTTCTTTCGGTTTTTAAGACGTTATTATTTCCGTAGCTGTTACTACTTACGCTTCCTTCTTACTGTTTGTGCACTCACGTTTACTCGTGAGGTAATTAGGACATAGTCGACCACTCTAACTCTAACTGACTCTTACATTTTGAAATCGAATGGCGAAAATTGTAGGTAATCTAAAAAAATAAAAAATAAATAATCTTAAAAGTATTCTTTATTTTATAAATACAAACAGAACATAGAAGTGTGTTGCTTTTCGATAATTCTATCACAGGAACAAAGCATATAAACGAGGAGTCGCGATGGTTTTTTCAAACAGTTTCAGGATCAACCGTAGAATGGAAAAGGGGGTGGAGGGGGCGGCCCGAAGAATGGGGGCGGTGGGGGTCCGTAAAAACCACCCCCAAAGCCTCTCGCGAAGCCACCCCCGAAACCATAGCCAAAGCCACCCACTCCGATAGGGGGTCCTCCCCAACCACCTATCCAGTGACAGTCTATAAACTGAAAAGCGGAAAACGTGAACTTTTAATATTAAATTGTACAACGAATGACTTTTTTTATAGCCTGCTGAGGGTAAATTCAAATTTGCCTCCAAGGGGACAAGTTCACTTAAAACTTCCAACTCCAACGATCTCTCTATTGACATTTCACGTCATAAAATTTTAGGCCGAATTTAATGGTGATATTGTACCAGTGAAATAAAATTTATTTTGTATTATAGCATTGGAATCTAACGTTCAATTAAAACCTGGTTAATTATATTACTTATATATAGCCTTCTACTAAATGTTTACTGTTTTAACACAATTAAAAAATAGTAGGTAAATAGTTCACTTACCGATATTAAAACACAAATGGTTAAGAACAAGGCAAACATTCTAACATCGCTCATTTTTAAAACAAAATACTATCAATTCGGATCACTCACTACCGAGACGTCAAGCTATCTCTTATTCAGATTTCTTAGTACCCATCTTTATATAAATGGACCATAGATGAGACGTGTTGTATTAATCAATTTACACATTGCATATATGTAGCTACCATGTGTATGAAAAAGCAAAGTAATCATGATGAGTGATTCAATGAAACAATGACAAGTGTGATCAATGATTTAACATGTAATATCAAGCTGTTATAAGTTATATTTTATGGTTTATACTAGTGATGTAAATCATTGGAATAGACAGGGAACGGATTAACATCGATCTTAATATACCTAAACAAAAACTAAACAAATAAAGAATATAAAATCTAACTGCTACAGGTTGAATGTGGAAATTCGTAATAATTATTCGTAAAATATTTTTTACCCTGCATCGTAGACGTATTTTTTGTCTTTATTATTATATATTTGTAATAAAGAATTATAATAAATACTAAACAAATATCTAAATAAATGAGTTTCAGAAGGCAAAGTCGATAAATGTTTTCGAAATAATAAATTTTACTAGATAGTAGAAGCCTTTGAAAAAATAAATTAAACGTTCCTCGGTTCAAAAGAGAACATCTCTTTGTTATTTATAAATATGTATAAATTCAAAAACTTAGTTTAAATCCCCTTTGCAAAATGTGATGAATCTGTGGCTTATTGTTTTTATTTTGAAGACGCCAGTAGTTAAAAGATTTGGAAATCATCGATATAGATTAAACATCTTTCACCAACTTCGCATTTTTCATGGTCATACTTTTTATTTATGTATTACAGAACTTTCATATCGTATATTATATTTAAGTGTTTGTATTTAAGAATCATTTTTGTCGCAGAAATACAATATAACTATAGAATAGATGCTCCTCGTCGAGCAAACACTTAGCAAGTAACATCTAATTATTAGTCGTGGAAAACATTGCGGTTTAGCCCCGGTTATTCCACTTCAGGGGGAAATCCATTGTCTCTAATGAATTTAACATACAAAACGACTAAGTAAAACTCCACAGACAAACTGACTCTTATGATATGTTGCGTAAAGAGAAATAAAACGCACTGATTGATTTTGATTCAACTTAGATCCACCATAAACCCCGGAATATTTAAAAGTGATATAGAAGCCCAATATATACGTAAATGAAATGTTAGAGGTCTGCCGCTATGCACGCATCATGGAAAACACCTGGGTAGATTTTAATTAATTCTGCTGTTTCTTGTGTTAGACATTTGACCATTATAAAAAAATCGATATGTTCGTTTTATCTAAAGTTTTTAAAGTTTTACGAAATAAAGATTTTTATTACGTGTTCAGTGATGCGTTTTTTCTGGCCGTGCTAGATTTATACTATACATTTGTAATACACTAAGCAACGTATACGAAGTTCGACCAGTTATAAAAAATACATACTCATCCCGCTTGTGAAAAAATACCGAAAAAGAGATATACTTATTTTGAAATTAAGTGGTATAGATAAGTATTATTTATAGCGTTGAAAATAAAAATAAAAAGAAGTTACAATGTAAGCCTCTTGACAGAATATATCTTAATAGAACCATCTACAGTTAGTTTTTTTGTTAATTTATGTGGTAACAACAAAGGTTGCGAAATGCATTATGTGCTATGATTTCCTTAGAATTTAAACGACGGTCATCTATAGAGGAATGTCAGGAAAAAATCAGATACATTTGGTAAGTATACATTAAGGAGTACCTTCCTTAAAGTAGTAAGTCAGTATCAATAATAACAAAAAACAAAGTATTGTTTTGAATTATTATTGATGCTGACTTTGAGGTTCAATAGACTCCTGTACACTATTAACAATTTTGAGAATACACTATTTTGAGCCGAAAAATAACACGTCCACGCAGAAGAGAAGTTCTCTCCAAGGAAGGCAAAGTATTGATTTCCCCCCCGATACGAAAAAAAAAGACTTTTGCGTCTCGTCTCATCAGATACAACATTCCAGTGTTACTCTACCATGGCGGATTATAGAGGTGGTAGAGCTTCGACTAATTAGTCTGACTAAACAGGCATATTTTTGGTACTAACACTTCTTGTATTCATTATTATTTATTTATATTATAACTAAATAAATTTAAAATGTATGCATATATGGATTACATCAGCTCATTCATGCACGTAGTGCATAGAATATATAAACAGAATGCTTCACTAACTACATAACTGTTCATACTTTCGATATGTGGTGAATTTACTTCAGATAAATTGCGTTGTTTGTTCGAGAGTTGTCCTGTGACGTAAGAGGGAAGCCTCCTATTAGCTCGCCCTACATACGTAAGGCCGAGGAAATATCTGCACGCCCCGGGAAATTTCACCCGGACAGAGCTGCATCGACCGCCGATTGCATCGTATTGCAGCTGCGCCGTCCCACTCGAGAAAATAGTGGGGAGAGCATATCTATCGATGTATTAAACTTACAGATATATCTTTTGACATACGTTACCCAAAATGTCAGAAAACATAAGCGAAATGCTATTTTGTGTCTTTACATATTTAAATATTATGTTGCAGTAAATCTATTATTGTGTAATTACATGTACCCTTTTTGAAATTTTCTGTACCTTATTGTACTTTTAGTTATAACACTTTTACTTTTTGAATTTATACTTCTTTTGGCGCGTTTGAAAAAAATATTAGAGTTTTCTTTCTTTCTTTGCTTTCTTTTTTTTAAAAACATTTCCCTTACTTTAGAATAACATTATCCTGGTTGTAAGGACGATTTACAAACATAAATTTCACGCGGACAAACACCCAGATTCGAAACTACTACATGTGGGTCACACAAATAGTTGTCCCGTGTGGGAATCGAACCCATGACCCCCCGACGCCGAAGCCAATACAATGGCAACTGCGCCACGGAGTCATAGAAAATATTTACGATGCGCGCACGCACCGACTTGTAAGTTTATGAAATGTTAGAAGTTTAAATAATCTTTATCGATAAATGCATTTCACTGCAATCCCTTTTCATCCTGTTATCCCTTACGTCACAAACGTTCTTGACCTCTTGATATTTGCGCCTGTAGTTTCCAGTCGGATAAAAGTGTCCGAAATACGCTCTTATCCCCTTATGTTAAAGTATATACCTACGTAGCGAGAATTCTGGTTCAGTGTGTTCTGTGAAATAGAGCAGGGCTGTTATTTTCAATTTTCATTAAGTATTCCTTCAGGTAGTGCTGCAATAAGCTTAGCTTAGCCTCGATGTAGAGGGAACCTGTGGTTGTTAATGTAATAAATTCTGACACACCGAAATTATATATTAATATTACGAAGACGTTATGTTATACCTAAAAATACATTAACATTTGTATTGAGGTAAACTTAATAAGTATAATATTATTTTATCAATGTTAACATACTGTCTTCAATTTAAATACTCATTTATTTATAGCCAGCTTTTCGATCACTAGTTATGAAGACAAAAACAGAATATTTTTTTTATCAAAAAAATGTTCTTCAAATATTTGACATGAAAATTAAGGTAACAAGATATCATGAATTTCTTCATGGCAGCTAAACTAAAAATATAGAAGAGGATGTTTTCCTATATAAACGCTTTTGAATTTAAAAAAATAATTTGGATATGATTTTTTTTTAAAAGATCTTCCACACAAGTGAATGAACCTTTCGATAACATCTAAAGGGCGAATAAAACACAAATACATATTTTTAGATTCACAGACTAAATAACAGCCAGAACATAAAGTAAACGGCAAAAATTTAAACAAAGGCCCTGAAACCTTTGAGTAAAACCTTGTTTATTCATGAAAACTTCAAACATTTCATTAAGGCTTTCATTCTAAGGATTAATTTTTAAGTCTTGTTTACCTTCTGGATTTCAATAATGTAATGTAATTTTGTTACAAAACGGAGTTAGATGCTCCTAAGCTACATTTATTAAAACATTAAACGTAACTCATCGTTAAAGTCAACTAGGGCTTAGTATAAGATTTACGCAATGTGTTCCTTTGTGGGCAAATTTGAAATAAAGTGTTATTAATCCGTTAATTCTTAATGATATCCATAGCAAACATTGCCGTCAAGTCAAAGGAGAATCTTCTATTATCCCCAGTCTAATGCCTGGCTTTGTTTTATTGCTTCATTTGAATGTTGCATGATTGAATACATTGTTTTTTAATCAATTCATAATTGATAAATAAAAGTAATTTGTGAATCCAATCACGTACAACTTTGTATTTTGGTGACCTTTTTATTATTACTTTACAGTCTCACAAAGTCACAGACCCATTATAATGTTTGAAGTCTGAACTTCGAAGTTAAACCGGGCTACCTTAAACTTTCGTAGAACATGACTATTAGAAAACAAACTATTTATTAAGAGAAATTCCGCCTGTTTTGTCATCGTTTTCAGAGTAAGTAGTTTTGTATATAATATGTGATATATACAGCTTGAGTGGTTGTTATAAATCTTAAACTGTAATTTAGTGAATTCGCTTTGCATTAAAATATATGAAGCTACCTGGTAAAAGTTACAATTTTTGAGTATAAACTTTATGGATTGATTTTAATACTAGAAACAAATAAAGAAATTAATTATACATGCATTTAAAACTGATAACTCTGAAATAAGGTTATAAATTAATTCTTCACTTTCAAAAAAGAAGATTATATTTCGAAAAAGATTATTTAACTCAACTTATAAAAGTGTATTTTTTTAAAATGTATGTATGATGTAGAAAGTCAGGTCCAATGTTTATATTATAAATTTTAAATAACCCCAACGGTACAATCACCACTCTTCATCAATTTTACTTTATATAGACCTTGGTTATGAAGAATTGGCCAGCCAGGCGATAACTACAAACATTCTCCTCCTTTTATATATGACTGTGTATGAGTTTGCTGGCTTTCTTTTGATTGCAAAAGCTATACTTTCAGATGACGAAAATTTCAGTCAGTAAGTTTTTATGAAAATATC